GTCCAATCTTTTTTTTTATTATGCCCATTTCCATCCATCTAAAACGAATGCAGCTCAAAACTTACAAATTCTCTTAACCAAGAGTTGTATTTCGGCTCCTTAGTTGTGATGAAGTCACGTTGATTTGTTCGTAATTCGACAGTAGTGGGTGATTCTATTCCTAGTTTTTAAAAAATGTAGAGAAATCCTTCGGACCACAAATAGCGTTATTCTGGGAGTAGGATGAAGAAAACTTACTTATCGACGTATACTACTGTATTGTGAAAAGAAAAGTACATTTGGTTGGCATTGAATCCCAAAAGCCAAAACTAACGTAATAATAATTTGAATCTTCGTTGGCAAGAGGCTTAGAGCCAAGTATAAACTTTAGTCCCGTCAATGCGATCTGAAAAAAATTAGTATGTTCAGATATGACCTGGGAAGTTGAAGCTGGAGGAAGGAAGAAAGAATGAACATGAACTTTGGCCTTCGGCGGTCACGGTTCCCTCGGATGAGCGCGAACGCAAATTTTCGTGATGCGTAGGCTGCGTCGATCACGTTTTTGCAATTTGAACAACTTGCTGAGCGAGATTGACTTAATGGCAGTTCGGGGGATAAAAGAAAAAATCCTCGTTTCTGTTGTACCAACCATTTCCGCTGAACGAGCGATGAAACTCGCAGCGTGGCAACGTCGAGTTATTGTGGTTGTGCTGTATTATAGTTCAGTACAGTATAAGATTCTAACTATAATTATGTATAACTAAAGATTATGTATAACTTACAGTATAAGTTTTATCGAAATCACGCATGAGATTTCGATAAAACTTGAAATGTTTCCGGAACTGAATTTCGAGAATTTTCCATGCCTCTTTTCCGCCCATTCAAGTTCCTTCAGTAAGGCAATCCAAAATCGTAGAACCGGCAGATTTTTCTTCGAAATTATTTTTATTTTTTACTTTCGAGGGATTTTTATTTATTGCGAAATTATCGCTTTTGGTGGTCTTTTATCAGCTTCGGTCAACGTTTTCTCCGACGCACAGTGATTCACGGAAAACCGGGGTTATTGTTCGGAAAATGCCTTACAGTACAATACGGTATCACCAACTCTTCGTTTTTCTGCGTTTCTCGTCATTCCTATTGTTTTCACAACTTTTCTAGAGGTTTCGATACCCGGTTTTTCTGCGAACCGGGTCCTTACTTCCTCCTCCTCGCCTCTTGGTGTCGTTATCGAACTATTCCAACTTTACCTTTTTTCGCTCGCCACGCCATCACGTCGTGGCAAAAATTTTCCGCGTGTGCAAAAAAAAAAAAACAAAACAAAAAAACAAACAAGGTGACCGAAAAAGCGAGAGAGAGAGGAGTCCGGGAAGTAGTCAGACGCGTTCCTCCCATAGGCAGTCCTTCGCGTGACCGGCACCGAAGTCCCCAGTCGGGTTTCCCGCGTGTGGTTCCTGTCATATACAATACAATACATGTATGTGTGTGTATGTACGGTATGTGTGTTGCTGAGCACGCATACTTTTTTGAGTTCGGGGTTGGCGCTGCGCTCGCGACTTGTTTTCGGAACCAGTTTGATTCCGGTTCTGGACCGTGGTGTCCCATTTGCCGTTTCTGCTGCTGCTGCTGTTGCTCCAGTGGCTTGATAAAAGTCGCAGACGCGTGGCGAGTGCAGTTATCCTAGTTTGTTCATGGGAGTTGCTTCTTTGATCCTTGTGTTTGTACTCGGTGATAAGTTCGGGTTAATCTTTATGCAGTATTGTACTGTATACAAGGTGTGGTGATAGTTTACTGAAGCTCCTTTGGGATTTATCGACGGGAATAAAACGATGGAATGTCGAGGTTTATTATGCCCCGTGTGGGTTACGCTGAATTATTCGGGAGGTGTTGCATTTATATTATGGAAAGACGATACAGGATTATGTGTAACGGGAGTGATGCGGTAGAACGAAGATGTTCCAGGCTTTGAGTAACTGCTTTATTCAAATTAGTCTGTTTTACCAAATTAATTTAAAATCAATTTTCAACTCGGGACTTGAGTAATTTTCTTCAAGGTTAAATAGAAATCATAGCCCGTGTAATGACTTATCGGATGTTATTTCATTCTTGGTTTTATTATTTTCAGGCCATCCTGGAATCGTTTCCTGCTGAGTTTAATTTTCTGCGTTTTACTGGGCATTTTATTCGCTGGGCTTGTAGGTTATCCGATATGATTCTGAGCTTCAGTAGCCTATTTTTAATGAAGCAGTGAAAGTGTATTCGATTACTTCCCTAGATTCTCGATAATTTTTTGTTCGAGTCCCGCCTCAATTATATTCGAGGGAGTGACGCGACGCTGTTCGTAACCGGAATAATACTTCGGTGGTTCTCGTCGAAGCTGGTTTAATGTGAAACTCGACCGTTTCATTGGTAATACTATTATAATAAAGTAAATTTCAGGAAGGTTATTCAGTGAATAATTGTAAAGCGAGTATTCTTCTTGGACGATAAGAGGAATCGGGATCCAGTTTTCGAGTGACTTCGTTGAAGCACCCGTTCTGAATTTACGCCGTTGATGATTTTTGCTCGAAATATTTCGTTCTTAGTTGTGGAAAAGTTGAATGATTATGCTAGGAACTAGCGGTCGAAAATGGTCGACTTTTATGAAAAGAGTGGAACATGTTTAAATTTCATTCCCTAGTGTTCTCGAGAAACAGCTTTCTAGTGGTGGCTCTAGTGCACCTGGGCAAGTGCACTTTTTTACGGTTTTTTAAAAAAGACTGTTCAATTATTTGATTATGGAATATGTTTAAATCCTAGTTTATTCGTGTTACATTTTGGTCGAGCTTGTACAAGCTCCGCACTTTTCCGTAGTTCCCCGTTTTGAATAAACTACCGCTTAATGCTGACCAATGAAGTAAAAGTTTGAAAGTACTACAGTGCACACTAACGAACCAATGTAACTAGCGCACGAAGCCTGCCTCAAAGTACCTAATAGAGCACTTATTAAATGAGGTGAGTTAACTTTTGAAAAGATCCGCTCATTTCTTTCCACTCTTGTTTCAAGGGATTGCGCAGTTCGTTTTAATCGTCTGATACTTTGAAGTGTGTGTTTGAAACGAGACAAATTTATAGAAATGGGAGCAGCGGCAGGGAAGATAAAGGAAGCTTGTCGCGAAGGCAAAGCTGGACCTGAAGCGGAAACGTGAGTTTTCCTCCGTACTTTGAGCGATGCTGAAAGGTGTCCGTAGACATTTAAAGGGATTTTTGCTATTTAAACATAAGTTTTCTTCTTGTATCATGGAATTGCGTGTGTGGACTTTTGAAGTCTCTTCCGCTTCCTGCCAGTGCCAGCGGAAATGTCAGGAGTTCTTTTCTATTCTCACGAATTAAGAACGTCGGTTGATTTTGATGGAGTTTTCGCCATAATTTTGCGGAAGTTGTGCTACATTGTAAGTTTTCAAGAATTCCTTCAAAATTTCGTGAACGTTTATGATGGATTAAAATTCAGATTTCACTTGGAAACGGAACTATTCAACAGTTTAAAGACGTTTTCATCTTTCCTGGGATCGCTGAAAAAATTCCGTTTACACGGACAAATGTCGAAAGAAATGATCAAATAAGAAAAAAAGAAAAATTTTAATACTGTAGTTGTTTCCTCAAATCGGAGGCGTGCTTTTTTAATGCTCACTTCCCGAACTCTAAAACTGCGGTTATTTTTCATTCCGATTTAAAAATTCCATTTGCTTATGCGAAATAAGTTCAGTTTTGGTTTCGTCGTTATTCCGATGATATTCCACGATTAAAAAAAATTTTTGATCTCCCGTTTCAAATTCCCACGATCAACATGAACCAACTTTGAGTAGCAGGGATTTTCTTCGCTGCATTTCATTCCTCTCGCTTTTTTCGGAAGTTTCGACTCTTTACCTTAGAAAACATCGAGTTGCATTAATGGCCTCTTTGCAGTGGAGGAAAACCTGTCTGATGGACGTTTACTTTTCCTTCAACAAACAATACTTGAGGAGAAAAACCAAAATGGAAAGAAAAATAAGAATTCCTGTGTCTTCCCCCTCTGAGGAAAAGATCAAGCGAGTTAACTCGCTGAACCCGAGGTTCATGGCCCCCATGCTCTGGCAGTGCATCTTTTTCAACTCAATCCGTGGCGCTGTCGGCTCCCTGCCGCGAGGAATATCGGGGCTGTATTTCAAATCCTTCACTGGATTCCTCCCCCCCCCCCCCGTGGGAGGGTAACTGGGCTCGTTCAAGTGCCCAGGGCAAACTTGGATAGGGTTGAGGAAACCCCCAAGGACGGGGTCAGGTGATTGCTCACATGCCCGTTGCTCGTGCTAATATTGTGCCGAGGGGCGCTAATTTACGTCGATTGCTCACTTCACGGAAATTTTATCAACACGGCTTTCTGGAAACCTGCGTCGCGAGTTTGAAGTAGGGGGGGTTGGAGGGGTTATAAATTGTTGTATGGTCGCTGGGAGTCTATTCAAAGTGGGGAGTAATGAAACTTGATGCACGCAATTTCTTTCTTAACTTAACATGCATGTGATGTGACGTAATTCTCGCAGATGTACTTTTCGGGCATCGCGTTCGTTTTTTTTTCTTTCTTCTCGACACTGATTTTGAAACGGAAAAATTTTGTTCAGAAGCTTGTGAAATTAATGCAGTCGTGTAAATCCACGTTACGCTTCGCCCGAATTAGGTATGAGAAGTTGAAAAAATCCTTCATGGGTTCGAAAAATTTTTTATTCAGAGCAGTTCATCTTCTTCCAAATACTGTCACCTTTTAGAATTGGAATTAATTGCGTGCGAAGGAAAATTTACCCCGGGCATTTCATTTTTTGTTGAGATTTGAAGGTACAAAATTGAAATTTAAAGCAATCCTAATCTTTGAAAGTAAAACGTTTTCAAGATTTGAAAAACATATTTTCAGAACGCATACCTGCCGTTAGGTTTTAGACCGATATTTGCCTAGCTTTTCCCCGTAATGCTTGACTTCGAATTAGCCAGCCATTTGAAATTTTTGGAATTGAAAAAATTCGGATAGTCCTGAAATATCCCTCTTTTGACAGTTAGGCGAAGATTTTTGAGATTGAGTTTCTAGTTTTAAAAGAAGCCTGCTCTTGGTTAAAAGCCACTCATCTTGGCGGAATCACGTTTTTTTCTCGTGAAAATGTCTCCTTTTTTTTAATAATTATTGTACTGGGTAAAAAAAGGGGTTCGAAGATGGATTTCTGTCAAAATTTGTATGATAGTAAGTGCTTCTTCGAAGAAAATCCCAGACCCAACCAGGTTTCTGCGGGCAATTTTCCTGCTTTCAATCATTCTCACCATCGATTTCTGGCCGTTTTATTCCTCACTCGATTTCCGGCGATTAATGTCAAAAAGTGAAACGAGAAGGTTTTTTGTGCGTGGTGCACGTAGGAACCGGAAAAGGGTGAAAAGATACGGTAGAGTGATGAAGCAGAGAAATTTCCCTTGACAAGTGCGGAGCAGGGAACAGATAGATACGAGGTCGAGGAAGGAAAATTATCCTCGGGTTCCACGGTACGATTCCCGGAATGTCCTCCACGCTGTTCACGCCCGGAATGGCATGCGGTTATTCAAACTGAAATTCATCTCCCCCAACACCTCGGTATTATAGTGGATGGAAGAACACGTGAGAAATACAACTTCGCATTGAATTCACAGCCTCGAGAAATGATCACGTTACCAATTTTTTTCATCGTAACGCGGAAACTCCCGTAGAACGTGGTTGACTCATCTTATTTTTTTTTTCACCAAGGATTATCGCAAGCAGATGTTCAAAGCATTGTATTGGCATTAAAATTCTTCCGAATCGGTAACGCGACAAATTTTGATTCTTCAGGTGCGTCACTTCCTGCAATTTTTCTGAACAGAATTCGAGATTTTAATACATGTGCCCTTGAACCGACGTTATTTGATTTATCGTTCCACAAGACGTCAAAAGATTTGATTTAAACTCGAAATACATCATATCTATCCTGATATAAATTGAGTATCAAGGTTATGGGTGTTGGTACAGGTTGAATATTCTAAGATCGGAGCTCGCACAATAAAGACAGGTTAGTTGTGTACTAGGATAATTCGTGAAGATGAGTCATGGAATTGAGTGCAGCTGTTCCACTGAACATGCTTTATTGGTGGGATATGATTTTTATCACTTTGATAAATTTACTTCAAGGATTTTAAATAATTGACGGAATCTAAAGAAAGGAAATTCTTCATTCTTCATTCGGAAGATATGCGATCTAACGCATAGATTTATTTTTACGAAGTTTCTTTCTGGCCTTCTTAGTTGAAATTACTTGAGAATAAATGTGAAATCCGTTAAAATGTAAAGATAACTTCTTCCTGCGTGCTGCTGGTTTTTAAATTTTTTACTTAGCAACCTTAAATTAACCAGATGAGGGCTACACAATCCAGGCGCTGAAGCCGAAAGCTCGCACTTCGTTTTTTTAGCATTCTCATCAACTACCGTATTTTCAACTTGATATGTTTCGCTGATTTAATTTAATACGATAAATAGCGAAACACTTCTGTGGAAGTTCCGGAAATTTGAGGCACTAAATTGCGGAGCTCCGGTAAACCTGTTGAAGCCCCATTACGACCGCAATCACGGGGAGGAAGAGTGTAACTGGAGGGTGATCGATCGGGGTCAAGGGGGATGGGGAATTTTTTTTCCCCCCTCAAGAAATAAGTGAGGTTTGTCGTGTTGGCATGTTTTTGAAATTGCTAAAATTTTCGGCGATCCACTGCTGCTGCGTCTTCCAATTGCGTTCGACCGTGACTTGACGCAACGAATGGTTGAGGTACTGTGGAAATCCGGTTCCGACCTTGAATGATGGAAAACCGAATGACGAAATACGGCCGTCAAAAATTAAAACAAGAAAAACGCAAGAAAAAGTAAACAGTATCAGTTCGAATAATGATGAAATCGCGTTTTCTGGTTAACTTGATGCGAGAAATCGTTCCAAGATACTGCTTGTATCGTGTGTGGGACTTCCCGTGACTCATTTGAAAACTTGATTTTCCACTTCAGCAAAATTCCTGGAAATTTGATTTCAAAACTAACTACATTTCTTGGTAGCTGAAGGTGAATCATTTGAAGGCTTTTTATTCGTGCTTCATTAAGCCAGCTTTCTTCTGAGGAATATTTTTCTTCATCATGGCGAACAGTTCGAACGAACTGTTCCAACGTGATTTTATGTCCTGATTTTCACGCGTAATTGCTGTTGTAAAACCGCCCGAAATTGACTTTGAATTGATTGCAAGGTTTTACGCCTACTAATCCAGCCTCTTGATGATTTTTTACGAGGTCTTGTGAAAGCTGTGGAGTTTTTGTCTGTCTTTTTGGACACCTTTTCAATCAGTAAGCATCAGCATTAAAATACTGTACTGTACTTGTCGGAAAATGTAGGTGTGCCTGGTTCCGGCTGAAGTGTTCTTATAGCTTTATTGGGGTTATTCATTTATAATTGTATTTCCTTCAATTGTTGTGAAACTGAAAAGAAAATGGGTACGCTTCATGCCTGGAATCTTTTTCGGGGTTTGATTCGTTGGGATTACGGTATGTGAATTCTTTTCATCTTTAAAATAAGGTTTATTCTCGAGTTGGTTTGAAGTAAGATAGTTTTTCTATTTTTTTAAATTGAACTTGGAAATGCTGTGAGATGGATCAACATTCGATTCTAACCCGCGTATCTACTGAGAATTTGTCGAATTTCATCGCAAAATTGTAAATCACTTTCCTGTCTTGTTCGCCTATTGGCATTTCACGTCGCTCTCTTGAGAAAATTTAATCCTGGAGAAAGTTTGAAACCTGGTAAATTATTCATTCCAGCGATTGAAGCACAGTACTGTATTTGGTAGTTCTTGAATTAATGCAGTTCTTGAAATTTATTCCACGATTTCGAAGGCATTTCCATGAGTGAATAGTTTGCCTTCAACTCTGCCTAATCTTTCATTGTGAAAGAAAACTTGTTTCGACATGATTTCAGTAGCATTCATTCACTTCATATAACCCCATTCTGAAACAATCCCTAAAATGTATTCGAATGCCTGTAACATAATGCGTGAAAATCGTCACAACTTTAAGAAAACCCCTCCGTTTTATAGTAAAATGCTTCAAGCTGAAGTACGTAACTGGGGGTTTTTTTTCTTTTCTTTGAAGAGTCCTTTCTGTTTTTTCTCGGTGAGTCCTCGAGCTGTGAAGTGGAGATGGTTTTCTGGGTGTCATTTGCGTCCCTGTCAGAAATGTGTCTCTCCGCTTGTGGTTTCTCAGACTTGAAGCCTTGAAGGTGGTTTGAAACTGGTGCGAACCAAAGCCCTCCCTCTACTCACGTCATCGAGCGTCTGGCTGACTCGCGACCATTCAACAAATTTTATCTGATTCACAAACTAAATTAAATAAGTCCGCTCAGCGTTTTATTTCATTTGTTCCTCTTTTGCGTGTTTGCCCAGCGGTTGTAAGAAATTTCTCGTGGAAATTGTGTATGTACAATAACGCAAGCGCGCTTCGGTGGCATCCAGTTGCGAAGGTTTTTTTTTCTTTTCTTTTCAAGGGTGTAACTTACGTAGCGTAAGTGAATCAGTGGTTTTGATGGTCTTTGTGTAGGTGGTCCTGACATCTACGCTGCCCTTATTTTCAGTTTTTTTTTTTTTTTTACTTGGGTGAAAGGCTGCCGTAATGAGATTCAACTATCAACCTTTTGATGGCTAGGAATTTTGGAGAATCTTATTTCGAAACCCACCCACGGTTGACCGTTTGAGTCTCTCTGCTTTCGAACGGATACCTGCTATGAGATAGAAGCCAAATTCGTTAATACGATCTTTTTGGTGCGATTCATGAATAAATAATTGTAAAGCTAATCTCAATTTTCATTTTTTTACGACGGAACGCATAAATTGGCAGCTTCTCCCTGTGATTGGAAACTTGAAAGCGTATCGGACGTAATTTTAAGATCGTTAGTTGATTTTTTTTTGTCTGAGGCTCATTTGCACCGTAATTGAAAATACATGCGCTGTTTTTTATGAATGTTGAACTTCGTTATATTTTTGAATACCGGTAGTTCAACAGCGTATTTCTTATGAAAAATCCATCGACAAATTTTCGCTGAAATGTCCTTGTGAAGAAGGAATTTCTGATGTCAATTACTGTACTTTTGTTAGCAATTCTCAGATTTTATTTGGCCAGCTAGAAGTATCCCCAATTCAGAAATGAGACCATTTACTGGCTTACTGGCTTATCTGTTAGCTTTTTTGAGGAGAAATTTTCTGGAATTCCTTCTTTTTAAATAACTTCAAAAACCTTCGAATCATAGCAATTGTACTTCGGCAAATGTCAGGACAATAGATGGAATGTTTTTGGCTCTGGACCCCGAACAGATCCTTAAAATTTTTCACCGGCCTGAAACTGAGATGAAAACTAAGGTTAGTATAGATTTGATATTTTATCAAGTTTCTTTGTATAAACCTCCGGGGAAATGCTTAGAAATACTGTACTCTCATGGAATGGAATGCGTTATGGTCGATGGAAAGGCTTAGATGCTTGCGTATGGAATCTTCGTCTATTTGATGGGAGTTTGTCCTCGTCCAGTTGAAGCGATGATTTCGAAACGTAATTACCAGAAACCGGAAATAAGCTTAGAACTGGCATCCGTATTTTTGTTCAATCATCTGGTATTGCGATGATGAAAGAAGGTTCACCTGCGGTTTTTTAAGGCGGAGAGCAAGCGGTTGAAATCGCCGGTGATGAACCATATTCCTCATCACCATAAACGTGATGTGGTTTCAAAGAGCTCAGCAGCAGCTTCAGAAGCTCTTCATGCTGTTGAAACATTTTTTTTATGCCCTCACATTTTCAAGGAGGTTGTGTTACTAAAGCCGGGTATTGGGAAACCAGAAAGCACTCGCGTGTCTGATAATTAATTGCGAAGGGTGTCCTTTTGATTCACGGCTTCTCACAGCGGGATGTCGTCCGGGAATGTCACTTCTTGTGACTCCCGAGTGCCATTAAAAAGAAAAACGCGCTAAAAAGTGGTGGAAGAATATTGTAGATGAAAAATAACAGGGATACTCAAGAAGTTTCTTCGGTAACTTTGGAACTTTGAAAAAAAAAAAAATCTCCAGAGGCGTCTGTTTTAGAACCCGTGTAGCCAAAAAAGAAAACGAACAAAACTGCTTGAATCGGTAACATGACGTAGCAACCTTCTAGTTTGCGAGGAGTTGGCAACTAATTATACGTCCATTGACATCTTGAAGGGCAGCTTTTATGAGCACAAAATAATTTGCAACAATTTTTGGTCATCACTTGAAATAATTATATTAACGGTATTCGGTTTGTCAGTTGAACCTTGAAAACCCAGGTAAATCAATCAACTTGCAACCCTCGAATTAGTTTCGGATGCTGGGAAATTCTAGGTTTAATCGAATTGAGAAATCTGCACAAAATATTACAAATTATTCTCAGTTCCAAACTTCTGTTAAACCTTCGATCATTTGAAAATTCTTATGACTTGAAAAATGATTTATGTAAATAACTTGCAACTTTTAAATTTCCTGCGCTTCAACGCTGGGGAGCAAAATTTGAAATGAATGTCCCGAAAACTATCGATATAATGTCTGTAAAAAATTAGCGATCGTTTCTGCATTCTCTGAAACATTTTCCCTGTGAAACTTTTCCGAGTCAATCATGATTAACGCTACTTAGCAAAAATTTGAATGCTGGCTGAGGCTTTGCCGAGTTGACGTCTGTAAACGTACGAAACTATTTTGCATCATCTCAATGGCCAGCACTAAACTTGTGACTGTACTTTTGAGTTAGCCTTCGCATTTAGGCCGTGTCGCGACAGAAGCTATAGTTGCGCAATTTAATTCTGCGCTTTTTAAAGAGATGAACTCTGCGGCCCCGCTGCGATAAATTGTAACGTGTCGCGTTTCTGTGACCCGTAATTCATTGGTGGGGCGGGGGAATATTTGACAGTGGGGCTCCTGGGGGTCACGTTTCTGGTTGAGAAACCAGACCAGTCGTAAACCCGTTTCCGTGGACCTTTTCTGACATTGGGAGCACATTTTTATCTCACGCTCAGGTGCTCTAATTTCTCTCACTTGAATCATTACCGATGCCCTGCAACCGCATTGATGACTCATTAATGTACTCATTTCTTTTTCTTTTCTTGAAAATTCAATTGTTAGGGCGGATTTGGCGCTGATTGGACTGGCTGTCATGGGGCAGAACTTGATCATGAACATGAACGACAACAAGTTCGTGGTCTGCGCCTTTAATCGCACTGTGGAGAAAGTGGAGCGTTTCTTGGAGAACGAGGCGAAGGATTCGAATGTTATCGGAGCTACTAGCTTGAAGGACATGGTGACCAAGTTGAAGAAGCCGAGAAAGGTCATGATGCTCGTCAAAGGTCTGGTATTATCAAACAAAATTAATGTCTCTTTTGTGAAAAAAAAGAACATTGAGTTCCGGAAGCGCGGGCAATCGAAGGAAGAATTTCACATCCTGTCCTGTATTGAAAGAATTGGGAAATGTGTTTCTTCACAGATTCGTGGTTAAATTCCCCTCGACTTCATCAAAGGGTTTCCGAAATGATGTTTTTTTTTATGACTAGACTATAGTATAATTTTTATATTCATGAGTCAAACCTCTTGTGTCTAAATTCAAGGGACTAGCGAAGAAGTTCGAGTTGAGGTTCTCGAATTAGGGAAATCGGCATTTTTTCGGGGGGAAAGACAACAGTTAAAGGAAATTATAATCTGTAATGTTCTAGGCCTTTAATTGCTTTTTTAAATGAGTTGAACGTGGAGGCAAGGGTTCATTTACCGAATTATTCTTTCACTTCCCATCAAAGTTCATCAGGTTTTATTGTTTTTATCTGTGTCCGGTGTCAAGGAACAGCCGAAAGACTTCCACAAAATTCGAATTATGGAGAAAAGCCTTCGTGTTAAGGTTTTTTAATGCATGGTTTCCAAGGAAATTCAGACAAGGACTTGAAAAATGCGACATATGGGGGTATTTGATTTAGGAAGGTTTGAGTTATCGAGGTTAAAGTGTACTGTACTATACTTTCAGTTACTGAATTTGATAAACATGTTAGAATGTTCTTCATGAAGGGCGCCAAGTGTGTTAATGCAAAAAGGCACTTTACCTGGGTCAACCCATGCTACTTTCATTATTTTATAATTTACGTTGAATTCACCGTATTTTTAGTTTTTCTTGTTGCGCCATTGACTTGAAATAATGTTCTTGGTTGGACGGGACACAAAGTGGATGGCTTTTCAAATTTTCAATTTTTTTTTCAGCTGGAAGCGCAGTGGACGACTTCATTGAAGAACTCATCCCGTTGCTGGACTCGGGCGACGTGATTATCGACGGTGGCAACTCGGACTACCATGACTCGATCCGTCGATCCAAATATCTGGAGGAGAAAGGCTTGCTTTTCGTTGGCACTGGTGTGTCCGGAGGTGAAGAAGGTGCTCGCTATGGACCCTCATTGATGCCCGGCGGGAACCCGAAGGCGTGGCCACTGATCAAAGACATTTTCCAGGTGAAAATCCGATGGTGGATGAGGAGAACTATAAGTAAAAAGAAAAATGTTCCCTTCCCGTTTTGCTTATTGCTGCTGCTGATCTTGCTGCACTCTCTAAATTGCGGCGTACGAAAAAAGGGCGGGGGCGCCACCGCCGCCGCTTACGGGGCTTTCGATCGCGAAGCTTTGCCACCGCCACTTGAAACCCGTGATTATTCTCTCATGACCAGTTTCGTCACCGATCGTTAAACCGTGGGTTTTAGCGTTGTAATGGGTCGCCTTTTTAATTCTTATTCTGGTGCAAACGTGTTCACCTCCAGAATATATCTACAAAGGATCTTTTATGATCCAGTGTTCGATTAACCCTGAACAGGATTATATTCTTAAAAACATGACGCTGGTTCATGGATGTAAAAATCTTTAGCAAAAGTTTCGGACTTCTGAAATGGGCTTCGGAGCATCGTCTGGAAATTTGAAAATGTTAAAGTATAGGAGGAATTTTCTTACGGCATTGTATGCTTATTCTTTTTGAGGAAGCAGTTGATCTAATTTAAATTTTAAATGTTTCTATCTTCGTTTGCCTTTTCTTTTGTGGACTTGAGGAATCCTCGAATTGATATTCAAAAATATTGTATGTCTAAATGAATGCTGATTTCAAGACGCCTCAATTTTGAACCCTGCCCTTCTAATAAATCTGTCAGTTTAAATGTCACAATATCTTAAGATTTAAAAACAACATCGTGATGTTCTCAAATTGAAAAAAAAAAAATCGGGGAATTTTGTTCGTCCAGCATCTTGAAATTGAATATGCCTTGGTAACGCAGGAATATTTGAGGCTTTTTTTTAAACCTTATGGATTTCAAACTGCGTATGCGCCAAGAACGTGAATGTTTTCAAGAAAATTTTCTTTTATGGACTTTTTGATGCAAAATCAATATGATCGGAAAAATCCCCATTTTTAAATCTGCGCAGTACTTCGATTTTCTCTTAAGTAGTCGCCAACCCCTTAGAATGGACTTCGAATCAAATTTGTTGAGCTTCCCCTGAAAAGTGTTAGTGTTGAACACGGGAACCCAGACGTGAATGACGAGGCGGAAACTGGAGCGAAATTTTCTTCGAACGATACAAAAAAAAAAATGTTCCACAGATTGGGGAGGTGGAGGTTTTTGATGTTCTCGATACTGGATCAGTTAGGACGGAAAAATCGCTGTCGGGAAAGTGGTGGGTGTTCGAACTAATCACTGGCATTTTTGTTTGGCTGCAGGGCATTGCGGCTAAAGCCGATGGCGAGCCCTGCTGCGACTGGGTCGGTGAGGACGGAGCCGGTCATTTCGTGAAAATGGTCCACAACGGGATTGAATATGGAGATATGCAGTTGATCTGTGAAGCGTACCATCTCATGAGGGACGGCATGGGGATGAATAATGACGAAATGAGCGAGGTTAGAGGAAATTTTCTTCAGCTGGCGTTTTATTTTATTTATGGCTGGTCTTCCTGATGGTCCGCCTCTGAAACCATTATTCTCTCTGACGATGCACCATTTAAAATAATTTCTCCTGAATTTTGGGTTATAGACGTGCATTTGCCTCTGAGGAGATTCCGTAGAAGGATTTTCTGGGTAGAAGTTGGCTGATATCTTTATTTTAATGTTCCATGGGATTCTTATTGAGCATGTGATGAGAGTATTTTTGTGAGGAGAGATTTGAACAGTCTGAACACATGAGCATTTTCTTGAGCTTCTTAGTAAATACAGTAATACAGTACAGTAATTTATTTACCAATGCTTTTTCAAAAGGTTTGAAATGGAGAGGGATCAAAGATACAAAGTTTCAAACTTATATGTCCTGTTAATTTGTAGGCTGTTCCAGTGTACTGCTGACGAATATTTTGAAGGTTTGAGGCTCCTTCGTGACATTTTCCGAGATGCGTGAAAACCGTGTTCTAATGGCTTAAAATCACAATGGATCTGATGAAAATTCTTGATACAAATTAAAATGTCATGATTGAGCTGGAAAAAAATGATTTAAGAAGTACGGGAGAAAAAATTTCAGCCTTTTTTGACGTTTTTTTTTCTTTTGCAAAAGTAACCCTGGCAGCTTTCTGCTCTTCATCACTCAACAGATAAGGCACCTATCTCTGGTTTTTATTGGTGCAGTCTATCGTGTTTTTCTAAATACATTATTTGAATTCGACATGGCAGTAATTTCAAGGGTTACTTATTCCAGGTCTTCCGAGGTAATTCTGCCATTTTCATGAGCAGCCGACACATTCTTATCCCAAGTGACGTCTGTGAAGGCGGTTGTTGAAAATATAGGCTTTAATAATCAATGGTGGCAACCCTTGGGACTCGGTCAATTCGAAGAATTCTAAAGCGAAAGCTGGGGTACATGAAAAAAATCTGCATGATGGGTGTATCATCTTTTGTTTAGCCAAGGAATTTTTTTCTCAGAGTAATTTTTCTTTTAGCTCAATCGAATGCCGTTTCAATTTATATTGAGAGAAAATTCTCTTCTTTTGTTGGCGATTTCTGACGTTGTTCTTGCTTGAATGAACTCGCAGGTCCTCACTGACTGGAACAAGAGTGAGTTGGATTCGTTCCTCATCGAAATCACTGCCAACATCCTCAATTACAAGGATGCATCAGGTGATATAGCGTTTTTGGATCATTTACTGGATCTGGATCAATAGTTCATAATTCGAATATTTCTTCCTTCTTAAAGGCGAGTATCTGGTTGAGAAGATTCGTGACACAGCGGGTCAAAAAGGTACTGGCAAATGGACCGCAATTTCGTCCCTTGAGCTCGGAACTCCAGTCACATTGATCGGCGAGTCGGTGTTCGCTCGCTGTTTGTCTTCTCTGAAGGACGATCGCCAACTTGCGTCCAAGATTCTTGAAGGACCGACTCAGGAATTCACTGGAAACCGGGATGAGTTCGTTGAGCATATCAGAAAGGCTAGTGTTTCTCTTATCACGTCCGGAGTCCAGTTCTTGTTGAAGTGGTGCAGAGGGTTATATCTGAAAAAACGGAACTTGTTTCTGATTTTTTTTTTTGTGAACAGGCGCTGTATGCAAGCAAGATTGTGTCCTATGCGCAAGGCTTCATGCTGTTGCGTGAAGCTGCTAAGGAGTACAACTGGAATCTGAACTATGGCGGGATTGCGCTCATGTGGCGTGGAGGATGCATTATTCGAAGGTAGTTGAGTAAAACCCCGATAAGCCGTCATTCTTGGCAACCGCTAATTTATTTTAAAATATAAATCTTCAAAAAATAAATGCATTTAAACCGCCGAACGCCAAGATCATTGAAAAGTCAAATATGCTCCTGCTAATTAATTTCTTCGATTGCCCGCCAAGATAGAAGTTTCTTCAAGAGATGTCTCCAATAAAAAAATATTACATGATTTACTCTTTGGGAATTTTAGCTACGCGTAATTTACTCATCCGAATTTTCCATTTCTAGAATGAGAATTAGAATTTTCCATTCTTAATTTTTCATACAGCTTTTTTGATGGATGAACGACCCTCTTGAGATTCCCGCTGGGGTTTTGTATATAAAATATGGATGAAATTACATTTCCTCTTTGGACACGCATACCATTTTTAGTGACCAAACCTGCAATACAGTATTTAAATTCGAATATGGGCTTTCTTATTTTTGAGAGAAGCCTTGATCCTGAATTGAGGAATAATTTTGAATTGATTGCATGAAAATGAGTTTCTGTTGAACTTGGTCCAAGTTTTTATTTATTTATCAGAATCGAAGTATCAAGTTGCAGATCTGAAATTGAAAATGTTGAAATTTTGTACCAACCAGCAATCCTTTTTTTTCTTTTCACTTTGAAGCTTGAAAGGGTGGGAGTAAATCTGCTACTTGAAGTTGGAAATTTGAAGGTTGCATTCATGTGTGAGATTTTTAATTTCTTGCTCTTATTAGCGTCTTTCTGGGGAACATCAAAACGGCTTTCGATAAGGATCCTACTCTCACCAACTTACTTCTGGATGACTTCTTCAAAACTGCGATCCACTCATGCCAAGAGTCGTGGCGAGAGGTCGTTGCTTCTGCCGTGAAGTTGGGAGTTCCTGTGCCAGCTTTCTCTGCTGCTTTGTCGTTTTATGATGGATTCCGCCGCGAGAAATTGCCTGCCAACTTGATCCAGGTACAGTATTTTGTAATCGAAATTTTTTGAATGTTCACTGAACTCTAAACATTTTAATTTTGTTGCTTAGGCTCAGCGGGACTACTTCGGCGCGCACACTTATGAGTTGCTTTCGGAGCCTGGCAAGTTTGTGCACACCAATTGGACTGGCAAGGGAGGTGAAATTTCATCAACGGCGTACAATGCGTAGAGGAGCTGAGTATCAAAACTATTCTTCCTCCTTCTCTGATGGGTCACGAATGATTTGAATTGGAACTGAATGATTCTGAAACTGATATTCACGTGATTCTGCGTAAGTGGTTGCACAATCGGGATTCAATACGAAAAGCTTTTGAATGTGTTATTGAAGAGCAATTGGCTTTGTCTGGATAGATTTTATTTATTTTTAATGTCTTTGTGGCTCTGTTTCCTAGCGGGTGGCGATGAATATTTGGAAATAGAAATAGTTCTTGTCATTTAATTTGTTTTAATTCTTTGATTTTTTTTTT